CCGTGGGATTTGAACCCTAGACCTGCTACTTGGAGAGGGTGACAACTTGACCACTTCACTAAGCTGCCACACCTCCAAACTATATGTATGTACCCATATGTATATTGGTATACAGTATATAATTTGAATTAAAGATAAAATGCAGTTAATACATATAGTATTCAGTATGAAAATCAAAAGGCGCAAAGAGAATACAAGAAGTTCAAGCATAGTATAAAAGTTAAATGCTCTAAAAGTTTAAAATAGAAGAATGATAAAGATTATAATCAGTATCGGTTCAGATATGTTATGAAAAAAATTGAAAAAGCAGAAAGATAAGTTGCTTCTCATTATTCATTTAGCCAGTATTAATGAATGAAAAGTGAAATAATGAAATGATATATTTAAATAGATTATACGTATACAAGCTAATAATAATCAGTCTTGGGCATTATTTAAACAATTTTGTTCATGATACTGATTATATGTAGTACTACTTTGAATATTTACATATGTAATTTTATTATTAGCATTTAAACATATCCACTCAGATAAATTGTTAAACAGTTAATTGCAAGTATATGTAATACATAATAAAACTACATCTTATTACATTTTTTTTAATAATGACCCATGCCACCACATTTTTTGCAGCGTCTCTGTTGCCTTCCCTTGATATTAGATTCATGTGAGAATTTCAAGCGCTTACTTCCAACTGGTCGACTTTTTCTACAGCGTTTTTTCAGATTTAACAATACAGGTCTTTGATTTTCTTTATCTTCATCGCTTTCTTTATCTTCATCGCTTTCTTTATCGCTATTTTCATCACTTTCTTTATTATTGTTACTTTTTTCTTTAGCTTCTATTTCTTCGTCAGACTCTTCATCGCTCCTTTCTATATAATCTTGTAAGAGTTCAATAAGCTTCTGTGACTTGACTTTACTTTGTAATGCCTTTTGAATAGCTTTTTTAGACATTCCATATAACTTTTCATAAATCATTTTTTTCTGAGATGAATTAAAACTTTCTTCAAGAAAGTCTCGGTTGACTTGTTGAAATGAATATAAATAATTAATAGACACAGATGATTTACATTGGAATGACGTACTATTTTCTTTTCTGCAGTAAAAAAAGGTTCATTGGAGCCATCAGCGTCTTTATAATACCATCTAGAAGGAATCAATCGGATATGAAAATTTGTAGCACTAGTTGCAAGCATAATTTGAAAATAATACCTACAGATTATTCCCTGTTGAATAATAGATAAACATGTGCAAACATGTAAATGGTTCTTTAATAAAACTATATAATGTTTTACAGCTGTTGCATTGCCAATTGCAACAAACCAGATTTCAGTAATATTGGCTAACCCTCCCACAAAAGCAATAACCTGTTTCAGCATAATTTGCTGTATTTCTATATTTGTTATATCACGAATTTTATCTTCACAATCATCAGTGTAACATTTCTAATTTAAAATTCAAATATGTTAATACTGTATTATAGTTATGATATATAGAACGCATATACAAATATATATATACAAATGAATATATATTTCAAAATCTTTATCTTGAAGTATAGAAGCATCGTAATAGACTGATTGACTTATTTCGTTCTATTGTCTTTAGAGCATTATAGGTGTGAGAAATTTTTCTAAACATCTATCTATTGTTTTAAATAAGAAGTTCGTCTTTTCTTTATTTTTTATACAAGGAATTGAAAGCTTCCAGAAATTGTATTCCTCCTTCTTATCTTGCATATCTAGAAGTCGATGAATTTCATTCATCAATTTATATAAGGAGACATTCGAATTATATAAGAGACATTTCAAATTTGCATTAACTGATTCTACTTGTGAAGTTGCAATCATTCTCCCAGTGAACTTGAAGTTTGTAAAGCTATGCGCCCAATAAGTCTTAGTTCGATAAAGCACATCCAGATAAGAACTAGCAGTGGGAAAGTCTTGATAAAGATTTTTAAACTGTTTTTCAAAAACTTCAATTGAAAAGCTATTTCAGCATATATAAAATGCCTCAAGAAATTTGAAGAAATTATCACCTAGAGACTTTCTTAAATGTTTATTGATATTCTGCATTATGTGGAAAGCACAATGAACTGGATACGCTTGAAGAAAAACCTGTTTAATTGCAGAATCAACTGCAGGGTTAGCATCAGTCATTATTACTACAGATTGCCTATTAGTTGCTTTTAGTATTTCATTAAATATCCAGGCATGTGATTCTAAGCTTTCATCAGGAAGTAGCGCTTGAGCAAGAACGATGTTATATCGATAATTATTAAATTCTACAAACAATAACACAACTATACTATAACGGTTAGTTTTGTGCGTTACATTATTTAGAATACAATCTGAAAATCTGAAAATCGAATCCAATTTTCGATTTGTTTAGGGGTTATCCATAATAATTTTGTAAGTGAATTGTCGTCGTCCCATTCCCTAACAATAATCCACCAAGAATCCTTATCTTTTTTACTATTTAACCAATTAGACATTGTGGCAGCATCATTCGATAACATTTTGGAAGTTGGTTTAAATTTTTGAATAACTGTATACAAATCCTTGAAATATATAGGTTGTAAAGGATACTTTCCTTCTAAGAATTTTCTTTGAACCATTGCTTCGAATCTACAATATGAGGTTAAAAACTTGATATCCTCAATTATTTAGATGAAAATTTTTTTTGTTCTTCAAAAGCAATCATTTCAATGTTCAAAAGATAGTTATATTCATTAACAATTTTATTAACTTTAATGCTAGAATTTGGATTATTAAACTTGGGACATGATGTATTAACAAGAAATTGATATTTGGTCTTTTTCATGACTGTATCCTTTTCTGATTTAGAATTATAAGAATGACTATGATTACACAAATATGTACATTGTTGAATAATTCCCTCTTCATGTTCTACATGATCTTTCCTTATATGAAAATCTTTTTTTTTTGACTATTTATTAAGAAATAGATTACATTCTTCCCATGATAAAAAAATCTTCCCTTTGAACAATTCTGAATTCGTAATCTCATTGGTATAAAAGTTAGTTTGGTCAGTTCCAATTACTTGAGTTACATCATCATTATTATCTTTAGGCACCTCATCTTTAGAAAACACTTCAAATTCAGTTTTTTTAGCTGGATCAACATCTAGAAAACCTTTCTCATCGATTATATTACTATCAACATCTAAAAAACCTTCCTTATCAATTATATTACTGTGACGAATGAATTAAACGAAGTGAAAAAAATTAATCAATATGTAGCAAACAAACTAATTGCAATAAATAATACAAAGTAAAGTGACAACATACATACTTAATTTTAACCATAGTACAATTATATAAAAAACAATGAAAAAAATATATGTTAGTTAAATAATGCAACGTGTTTGATGTTGAATGAAGCTAAAAGAAAATAAAAAAAGTGTAATGTGTTAGATATTAAACAATATAATAAGTTATCAAAGAAAAAAATACAACAGTTAAATAGATAATGCAACATATTAAATGTTGAATTACGTAAACAAAAAAAAATATACAATGTGAACAACACAAAACAAAAAATAAAGTGAAAAAATGCAATGTGTTAGATGTTGAATGACCCAAAGTGAAGTGACCAAGTAATATATTATATTGAACAAAGCGAAGTGACCAAAGAAAAATACATACCTAACTACAGTGCGACACAAAAAAAATGCATATAAAAATACTGCACATTAGATATTGAACAACACAAAGCGAAGTGACCAAAGAAAAAAAAATTCAATACGTTATATATTAAATGATACAAAGCAAAGTGACAAAAGAAGTTAAACGACACAAAGCAAAGTGACCAAAGAAAAAAAAAGGAGGTTAAACAACCCAATATGAAATAATCAAAAAAAAGCATACCTTACTATGCAACTTGTTTAAACGATAGTAGAAAAAAACATAGAATTACTTAAAGGTAGGTATTTCGTACTTGTTTTCTCTTGTTATTGCCTATATTGTCATGTTTTACGAGATATGAATGTTTAAATAAAGAATAAAAAGGTTTGATCATGCTTTGATCGAACCCCTATTTATTCTAATTTCTTACGCGTAATAACGTAATCAATCACTCATCGATCACCCTATCTATCAAAACAAACTAACTCAATTTTACCAAACTAATCCGATCTTACTCCTATATTATGATCATTATTTTATATTATCAGTATAACTATGTGGTACTATGCTAATTGGCATTTTATATTATCAGTATAACTATGCGGTACTACGCATATGTGCAAAATAATATATTTCTTTAATATTTTATTACTTATATTGTATATTTATGTAATGCTATTTAAAACACTAATTTATTATTATTACTATTATTATTAATAGTTATATTTTCAATTTTTTTCTGAAAAATATTAAAATTATTTTCTCTAAGTCAATAAAAAAAATATATTAACATTATTTTATAGAAATAAAACCAATCTACTAATTTTTTATTATTTATTTAATTGTCTATAAAATAAAATATAAGTTTTATATTTATATTTTTTACTTTATTCTAATATTTAAAAATTTTGTTTTATAACAATTTAATAGACTTAATAGGCGATTTATTAGTCACCTAAATAAAAATTTTTTTTATATATAAATTTTACTATAAGTGTGAATACACAGCGTCTTTATTTAAAACTTTTTTATACTAAGTAAATCACTTTTCAGCTTCTAACAAAAGTTGTAAAGCTTATCAAAATGTATTTAATACTAAAAGAATATTAAAATTGGCCTAGTAGTTCTTGAGAAATCTTTAAAAAACTTCTTTTTTACATATAAAATTTCTTTAAAAAAAATCAATTTTTTTTTAAAGAAATTTTATATGTGAAAAAGAAGGTTTTTAAAGATTTTTCAAGAACTACTAGGCCAATTTTAATATCCTTTTAGTATTAAATACATTTTTATAAGCTCTACAACTTTTGTTAAAAGCCGAAGAGTGATTTGCTTAGTATAAAAAAAGTTTTAGATAGAGACGCTGTGTTTTCACACTCATAGTAAAATTTATATATAAAAAAAAAATTTTTTGTCCAGATGACTGGTGAATCGCCTATTAAAAAGCAAACAAGTTCACAAAGTCAAGAACATAGATACCTATTTACCATTATGTACAAATCATTTACATAATCATATTGATGATTTCTCTAATCAGATCATTCTGTAATTTGCTAGTAATATAATACTCTCGCATTAATCATTCTATTCAAAATGTGTATATAAAACTGTTATTAATCATTTGAATTAAACCTAGTAAACCAAGTTCATGAAGAAAATAAATACCTATTTACTATCTGATAAGGTAATTAAATAAGCCTATTAGAGATGTATTTGAGAACATTCACTTACATTAACCATTCTATTCAAAATGTATAAATAAAACCCATTTATTAATCATCTGAATTAAAAAAGGTAAAACAAGTATACAAATCAAAAACATATTTACTATTATGTACATCATTTCATTTGCATCGTGGTTAGTTGTTTTAGATAATTCTAACACCAACCCTAGCCTAGCTAATAATCTAACCCCCTAACTCTGTCACCTGACTTTGCTTACTACAACACTAATTTCCAAGCAAACCACTACCAACAATTTAAAAATATCGCTACCAACAAATGACAGACCAAATTCAAATAATGATGAATGATGGATAATTCAACACCAACAAAAGCGAATTGATTATAAGTAACATCTTATGACATACTATATAAGAAAAAAAAAGGCGTTTTGGTTAATAACTAAATTTAGAAAAAGAAAGTAAAAATAGAAAACTTACAATAAAGCCTCTTTGTTCGCGCTTGCAGTAAATATTTTTTTATTTTCTTAAACCATATTTTATTAGTTCAATAAAAATATAGAATAAATTAGGAATTAACTCAACAATTCACACATCATGACTATTATATAAAACATGTGACACCACCGAAGCCATTCGCGGTGAAGATCTATATTTTTTTCTCTTTATTTACTAGTTATTATTATATTTAGAGTTCATTATTTGTATCGTTATGCTATCTGTAACTATTTATTTGCTTTTGTCATGATGCATACAATCGTTATGCATAAATCGTTATGCATAAATCATTATGTATAAAATCGTTATGCATAACTAGGGACAGTGAATAGTTTCATGATCGCATCAAAAAATACCAAAAGGTTAAGTGTTAGTAAATTTGAATTGTATAAAATAACCTATAAAAAGATTTTGTAAAAAGACATCTTCTACGCTTTAAACAAAAAAGAATACTTAGCTTTAAAAAAAAATCTTCCAAGTTCTCTTTAAAAAACTACAAAACACTCTACATTTCATCAAATCGAGTAATTTGTGCATGAGCACTATTTGATAAATTAAATAAAGAACATTTAATTGCCTTTGTAACCAAATCAAAAAATTATCAGTTTTAATTTCTTAAATAAAACCTGTCTCAACATATTATTACTTGTGGTGTATCCCTTAAACTGTAGAGTGCGTGTAACAATTTTAACTTAAAAATAGTATAAATTTAGTTATGATTTATTTTTTTTAATATTTAAAATATTTAAATAAAATTTCATATAATAA